TCACTTTCCATTTTTTATTTTAATAAATTTGTTTTTAGTTTATACTCTGCATATCTTAGTTTAGTAATTTCGTGTTTTTCATCATTAAATTATATATGAGTTTAAGAAATCCCTTTTTAGATTTGTAGCATTGATTTATTTATGAATTTATGTGTTTGTATTGATAAATTATATATAAAATTTATTAATTTATGGAAAATAAAAACGAGGTTGTGAATTTATATGTTATAAAATTATTTTTCAAGTTATTTATGGACAGTAAAATAAAAATGAATTTAAAATATATAATTATCGATTTTATGAATTTAAATATAAATTATTTAAAATAAAAAACGAATTTACAAGTATTTTACAAGTTATTTATGGAAAATATAAAATTATTTTTCAAATTTCTCTATCAAAATAATTTGACAAGTTAAATTGATTGATTTATGAAAAATATAAAAAAATTTGATTTAAAATTTACGAAATTATTTTACAATTTATTTATGAATTTATGTGTTTGTATTGATAAGTTATATATAATATTTATAAATTTATGGAAAATAAAAACGAATTTATGAATTAATATATTATGAAATTATTTTACAAGTTTTTAATGGAAAGTAAAATAAAAACGAATTTAAAATATAAAATTATGGATTTGTGAATTGATAAGTATTTTATAAGTTATTCGTGGAAAATATAAAATTATTTTTTAAATTGATTTGTGTGTTTTAATTCATATTTTATATATAAAAGACTAGAATTTATTAATTCCTCTATCAAATTATTTTACAACTTTCTTATATATTTATTTATGTATTTATGGAATATAAAAATGAATTTATGAATTTATATTTTACTTATTTTCATTTAATAAATTTGTTTTATTTTATAGGCGGATCGACCATCTTCATACAGACAGTTATTTGGTGAGGATGCTACGATTCCCGGATTGGTGGATGGTCGTCGCGGATCAGGTTCAGGATCAGGGTCGGGTTCGCAGGCTGCAAACTATCATCCACATGCTCCACCACGAGCTTATGCACGAGCTCCGCCACCGCCACCGCCACCGCTTCAGCATGTGGCTGACGAAGACGAAGCAGAACATCCCGATGATCACAATGAGGCCCCTCCACCGCCAAACCCGCCTCTTATGATGCGGATTAGTGAGGTTCTCCGCCAACCTGGACGAGAGACACGAGTTAGGGTCCTCCATCCGTTTGAGCCACCACGCACTTTTTGGTATAATTAATTTTTTTGCAATATTACTAATTATTTTTTTTTGGGATAATTATTTTTAATTAGAAGTTTTATTTAAATTATTAATATCTAAATATTTTGTTTTACAGGTTTATCGATAACT